CTCCCCCTCCTTCTTCCCCCCTCCTCCTCCTCCTCCTCCTCTCCTCCTCCTCCTCCTCTCCTCCTTATCATCATCATCCTTATCATCATCATCATCATCATCATCCTTCTCATCATCATCATCATCATCATCATCATCATCATCATCATCATCATCATCATCATCATCATCATCATCATCATCATCATCATCATCATCATCCTTATCATCATCATCATCCTTTTCATCATCATCATCATCATCTCCAGCCTCCTCCTCCTCCATCACCTTCGCTCTTTTCGGGTCCTCCCTGTGCCACCGCCCGATAAGCCATGGCTGGACGGATCTCGTTACCACCCAACCCCCCCTTGTTGCTGTCATACGATCCCAGCCGTTTAGGTGCCTTTCTTGGAGATTCGAAGGTCGGGTGGGTAACCCCACCCTCCTTTCTTCAATCTAAAATGGGGTGGACAGTTGAAGTGGGTAGGGCACGTGTAGTTGGATGATGGTGGCCACCCAGCTTGTAAATGCGGTAGGAGGACGAGGACGAGGACGAGGACGAGGACGAGGACGAGGACGAAAAGGAAGAGGAGGAAGAGGAGGAAGAGGAGGAACACTTCCATCGCTAGGTATGCTAGGTGTCCTGGTGTTCCTAGGAGCATTCGGAACAACAGAAACGCTCGGGGCTTCTGCATTCACCTTTTCGGGGGACGTCTCCGTAGCCGCCGCCTTCGTCCCTCAATGTCGCTGGTCTCTGCCGAGAGCTGCCGGTCGAGGAGTCTGCCATGTTCCTGTAAGCAAGATCAGCCTTGCACGCGAGCAGCAAATAGTCACAATGAGAGTGGGAGCGGTCAGGAGCGAAGGGGTTGGTCAGGCAGAACAACAGACAGATCATGAACAATTCAAGTACTGGAAAGGAGACAAGCCGCTCCCTCGCATGAAGCGAACTGAAGAGCTTCGAGAGCTTGAGAGAATATGCAGGTGAGAAAATAAACAAACTCTTTGATGATGGGCTGATTGTTCGTTGAAAGGTATCTACTTCGCGAGTATGAAGGATATGAAGACCTTCCCTTTACTGATAGCGAGATTGAAGGACAGGTGAAGCAACATCTCAGAGGTTTTCTCTCACCTCTTTGCAATCAGATCATAAGACTCACCAAAGAAGTGTGGATCAAGTTCTTGGAGCAGGAGAAAGTTGTAGGTGAGGCAACCCGACATGCCTCCCGGCCTCAATTGACTCTTGGTAGACCATGGCAAAGATCCAATGAGACAACCAAAAGAAATGCGCGACAAATTCTTGAATCTCGTGAAAGCAAAAGGACAAGAAAGACTTCTGGCCACAAGGGAGGAGGCAGAGGCTGCGATCATGTCTTTCTGCTCGAACCGAAACGAACGATCGATTCAGCGCAGTCTGTCCTATGTTCAGAAAATTGCAACTGACTTTGCAACATTCTGGGGAGAGGCACAACTGGAGAAGGTAGTTAAAGAGTATTGCAGCGGATTGTGTTTGCTGATTCATTTCTTGCCCTGGTCAGGTCTTGGCGGAAACAAGCTATACCCCAGCATTGGAAGCAGCGGCAAAGCGAAATTCAACCGTAAAGAATGCTATCATTGCCTGCGCAATCTTGTCCGAATACATGAGAATGAGCGACGCAGTCAGCAAGTTTTTAGGGAAAGAGAATTTGTTGTCTAGCGATTGGAAGCCAGAAGAGTGCAGCTACCAGGAGTTCGAGACTCGAAAGATTGCGCAGTACGAGCGTTTCCGTGCGTATCTGGAGCAAAAGGGTCTGGAGCAGAGCGAGGCAAAGAACGAGCTTGGGAGCCAATTCAAAGTTGGACAGATTGTAGATTGTGAGGTAAAGTCCAAGGGACCGATCGGCTACATAGTAAGAGTGGAAGGAGAGCACGATGGCCTGGTCTACTACTCCGATATCTTCGACGAGCCTCCGGTCATCGGCGAGGTGATTGAGGGGTGGGTCCTCAAGGTAGAACGAGCTTTGTCTCTCCTTCCTTCGCCTGACGCATGCTGCAGGTACGCGAGGACGGCAAGCTGGACGTGACGCTGAGGCCCCCGGGGGCCAAGGCGAAGATCTCCGATGGGGTGGAACGAATCCTGGAGGTGCTGAACAAGGGGAAAGGCAGGCTGAGCCTCGGAGACAAGAGCAACCCAAAAGAGATTTATGCCAAGTTGGGGATGTCGAAGAAAGTCTTTAAGGAGGCGATAGGGCACATGTACAAGAAGAGGATGTTGTTGCTTGAACCCACTCAGATCAGATTGCAACCAGCTGATATGTGGCTCACTGGAGTCCAGATGACAAAGAAAGAAATGATCTCAGAGATGAAGGAAAAGAAAACCTCAGCCGAGAAGATGAAGTCGGAATCAAAGGCCGTTCCAGGCAGGGGAAAGCCTGCTGCTATGACGTCTGCGAGTCACGCTGCTGGGAAGAGCAATTCTGTTGAAGTTGCAGCAAATGAGCTGAGTGGAGAGACCGCGCGCCGCAGGTCCGAAGTTATGAAGAACTTGAACGAGGACATCGAATGGAAGAAGAAAGAGGCTGCGGAGCGGTTAAGGCAGATGAAGGAACAGGTAAGCAAGCAAGCTCTTCCCTGTCTTGGTCTCATGCTTGTGCAGATGGCGAGAGAGAGAGAAAAGCAGAAGGAGATCTGGGAAGAGGAACGGCAAGCGCTGGATCCTCGTGAGAAGGAGCGAAGAAAGCAGCTCCTTGCTACCTCAGGCAAGGGCAAGAACGGAGGACTGAAGGCGACGCTGGAGAAGCTGCGAGCGTCGAAGCAGCAGTCGGTCGCAAAGGCTCAAGGAAGTTCGCAGGAAGGCAGCGAAGCAGCTCGAGAATCTCCGCCTTCAGAGCAGAGGGCCGCGACCAAGTCGAACAGAATGAGCCGGCTCACTGCGACTGAGGTGAGGCAGGGCCTGACTTGAAGTCCTCCTCCTCCTTTTTGCTCGTGCATGCCGCAAGAGGATCTCAGTGTGACTTGTTGCCAGGTGGCTGACATCGGAGCGGCGGTAGAGGATGCGATCAGGAACCCGCACAACATAGTAGCGAAGAGGAGCAGCACAGACGTCGTTTTGGGTTGAGAGCAGGACCAAGAGGTGCAGCTGAGAGGAGAGGAGAGGAGAGGAGAGGAGAGGAGAGCGTTCATATGTACATTGGCATCCTTTTTATTCATTTGTAAACATACAAAACCAACTTAGCCGGCCAGTGCATCAGCAGCAGAAGCTACGACGACTTGTTGCATGTTCAAATCTTGCCGACATTGAAATGTTGCATATCAGTTTGACGTGGTTGCAATCGGAAGGCGCCTGGACGTCTTGAGCAACTGGTGAATCGACAGGCACAAGTGAGGGGGTGGGGGTAGTGGTAGCGCGCGAATATGAGCATACGGGGGGTAGTTTTCCTCTTTGATGATGGGGGTAGGGGTCATGCTGTAGTCAAACAAGGTGTTAAAAAAAAGCTCTACGAGGGATAGAAAGTCAGCCGGGCAAACAAACGAGAGGAAGAGAGAGCGAGAGAGCGAGAGCGAGAGCGAGAGGGACAGGGACAGGGACAGGGACAGGGACAGGGACAGGGACACAGAGACAGAGACAGAGACAGAGGAGGAGAGGAGAGGGGAGAAGGAAGCAAGAAACTTGAAATCACATCTTCCAGCAAGAATTTTCATGCAATGGGTGCTGCGTGCATGGGTGCGAGCTATGCTCATGAAGCGATGATAGCAGGGGCTACCCTCGCCCTTGGATTCACTCCTACCGTCGTTGAGAGGAAGCACAAGAAGTTCAAACCAAAAAAAGGTCCGCAAAAGGAAGAGGCAAATACAGGAGCAGGAGCCGGAGCCGGAGCCGGAGCCGGAGCCGGAGCCGGAGCCGGAGCAGGAGCAGGAGGAGGGGTTGGGAAGGAAGCCGGGGAACGAGCTGATGCTGGGATTGGAAAGGGGGATGGAGATATCACGGGTGGTAAAAGTAAGCAAGGGAGAGGGCAATTCGAAAAATGTTTCAACCATACAGATTCAAACTTGCATGGAGTTCGACGTCGAGGAGGCAACAGTGCTCTTGGCGATGCTCCCACCTTGAATCGCCGTCGGAGTCGCTCGCTGAGTGACCTGAGTGACGCGTTCGAGGAGGAGGCGCGCGCCACGGAGACTCCGGTGGAGCAGGGAGGTGTGCGACGCCTTCAAGGCCCTGAGAAGCAGAAGGAAGCAAGAGGCCCCCACCGATACGACGCCATCCTCAGCAAGAGCAGCATCGATGACAACCTGCACTTCGTCACCACCCGCGAGCACAGCGGTGGTTGGTCGAAGCGGCTTGGGAATCGACAATTAGCGAATCAGCTGGACTTCTTGCGAAACAGCTTGGAAGAGAGAGAGATCCTCAAGGCGATGAATGGAGGAGGGAAGAAGTCAGGCAAGCAGGACAAGAAGCAGGGAGGATCTAAGGAGACAGTGTTGCACCTGTGAGAGGAGCTAAAGGAGAATAAACCACAGACCCATCGTTGTTCATTATAACTCTTACATTCACTCTTTACTTGTTCTTACATCCAGCTATCCTCCTATCTCGGTTAGGAGGTGGGTTTGAGGAAGGCGTCCTTCTTGGAACGAGGCCTCCGCCTCCTCTCCCCCTCTCCTGCGGAACAGAAGGATAGAGCGCCTCGCTGACATTCCAATGCTCTAGTGCTCTTGTTGCTTCCATCCTGTTCGTCGGCGCATTCATCCCAGCACTCAGCTCTCTGCCTTCCCTCCCCTCAATCCTTCTGTTCCCCACCATCGCATCGTGAGCAGCCGCAGGATCAGCTGCCAATGCAAGCTTGAGGTCCAGACGAGCGATAGAGGCCATAATTCGCGACTCCTCGTCCTCAACCGCCTCCATCTCGACCTTGGGTAGCATGGCCCTAGCAGGAGGCTTCTGCTGCTGGTACTGTGCTGCCTGCATTCCTGCCAGCTTGTTCTGCCGGTACTGCTCCACAAGCGAGCGTGCCTCATCCGCATTTTGACGTAGCAATTCGGCAGACTTCCTGAGGGTGTGGCCTACGTCATGCCGTTGCCTTCCTTGCTGCGTGTGCTGCTGCACACCCGAGTATCCGTTCCTCTCTGACTTGAGATGCTCGCCCTCCCCCCGCCTCTTCGCGTATCCCTGCTTCGCCGTGTCTTCATTCCTGTTGGTCGCGCCATCCAGCATCCCAGGGTCAACTCCAAGCGCCATGTTCACAGCTTGTCGCAGCCATTGGTCTGTTCGCAAGATGCCGGAGAGCTGGTTGGATCCTGAGAGGTCCAAACTCTCCAGCAGAGACTCGTGGGGTGCCCTCGTGAGTCCTGCTGCTCCAGCTCCAGCTCCAGCTCCAGCTCCAGCTCCAGCTCCTCTTTCTACCTCGAATGCCGCGCCACGTGCCATCGCTCTGTGAGCCGGAGATTCGAGATCAAGACTATCCAGCAGCGCTGCTTGTGCTTTTGCTGCTGCGAGTCCTCCTCGCACTCTGCTAGCTCCTGCGCTCTGAGCCTTCCGCGAGCTTGCTTCTTGGACTTCAACTTTCAGGGGGTTGATGAATCTTTGCTCAACAGCGTCTGCTGTGTGGACAAGAGGTTTATACCGATCTGCTCCTCTGCTGTTTGTTTGCCTTCTGTGAAAGATGGAAACATTCTCTACGGCCTTACGTCCTTCCTCAACCCCTTTGGCAGCTTCCATCCCCGAAGACTTCGGCTGAGGAAGGGGGCACCTCTGTTTGGCGCTGTGTCCTCGATAGGAGTTCTGACTATAGTAAGAGTTGGTCGTCCGGTTCGATGCAACGGTCGAGTTGCTCTTACAGCTCAGAACACTTCCTGTTGGTGAGGTTGCCCTTCTATGTGAGCCGGCTTCCTCTCCGCTGTTTACCTTCTTGAGATGTTCAATTTCCTCCCTGACAGCATCCACCCGTCGCCTGTACTTCCCTGCCGAGCCTGGTTTCACTTCATTGCCATTCTTCCCGCATCTCAGGTTCTCATTCCAGTAGCCGATGCTGCTCGGTGAAGTTCGGCCTGAAGCCGAACTTGGACAGTAGCTGGGGGTTTGCATCCCTGAGACATCTTGCGCGAACTCGAAAGCCGCAGGTCCACCAGCTTCTTGTCTCGCACCTGAGCTCAGGTAGGACGTAAAGTTGAACTCCCTTGCCCGCTCGATCCCCCGCTCAGCCTTGGCAAGCACTTCATCCACGTTGGAGAAGTCCTGCTTGTTCTTGCCCGTCAGTTTCTTCTCTTGGTGGCCATTGGTGGTCTCCTGATGTCTACTCCGAGAAGACGCTGCTGTCCCTTGACGCGAGGAGTCGGCCAGCATGTTGGACGTGGGTCTTACCCACCTGTCATGGTCCCTCGTGATGATTGTTGGGGGAGGAATGAGCGAGGGGGGTTGATAACCCACCCGTTGAGAGCCACTGCCAGGACCCACCCCCGCGTTCCATGCCGGTTTTTCTCCATTGACGAGCTTGCCATTGGGGTTTCTACTCACAGCCGAGGGTTCTTCCTCCTTCACACTCGGCACGACCACGTCGTCGAATCGCACCTCCAAGGGTTTCACTCTCGCTCCGGCTGTAATTAGGGACCTGTTCTCCTCAATCTGCGCCCTGCGCTCTTCCAGCGCTTTCCGTATTCTCAATTCTTCTTGCCATTCCTGCTGTTTCGCAATCTCATCTTTCTGCTTGAGTCTCCTAGCCGTCTCCCTGCGTAACTTGGCTGCTCGAGCATCCGCAGCTTTCCGCGAAGACTCCTCTAGCTCTTGTATTGTGACTTTCTGACGAGTCGCAGCAGGTCTGCATACCTCCTCCTGTTTCGAGTTCTCGATGAGTTGCCACTTCCCTTTCTTCAAGGAAGGATCCCAGACCCATTGCCATTGGTCTCCCTGTTTCGCCTGAGTGTTGTTCACAACTCGGTAATCACTAATCGTTATCGGAGTGACTGCCATCCCTTCGCTTCAATCAGACTTATGGCCCTCAACGCTTATACTAAATGACATGAAAAAATCACAACGGTGCTTGAAATTTGCAAGACAACTGCAAAGTATTACAGTCAGTAGAAAACAAACTAAAGAAAGCAAAATTCTACAGAAAACACAACTTTAGTCACAGCCAGGCGTGAACAAAGCGTAGATGAGGAAGAGGGGGAGAGAGCCCAGTGTGTGAGCGTAGCATGTGTGAAAGAGAGGAGAGAGGGTACAGTAGAGAGGAGAAAGGGTACAGTAGAGAGGAGAAAGGGTACAGTAGAGAGGAAAGAAGGATGTGGGTGCGAGTGTGAGCATATCATAGGGGGGAGAGAGAAAGAAGAGATGTATCAGTGTGCCAGCATATCCTAAGACAGTTCGTCTGCTGCCGCTAGGGCAGTGTGCGTTGCCATGCAAATTTCAACCACAATTGCATGGAGGGTGGGGGTACTATATACTGGGGTGGGGGTAGCAATTCTGATCAAGTCCACCGTGCTCATACCCTTCAGCAGCAAGAGTGTATGGATAAGGTAGGGTTAAAATGTGAGGGTAGGGGTGATATTGTGATCCTAGTACAGGTGGGGTGATCATATAGGGGGTTGATGACCTATGAAATGTATTTAAAGACAGGGGGTAGGGTAGTACAGCCCTACTACTTGGTAGAAGTTTTCAATTGCTGGGTTGATTCACGGTTACAAAAACCGTTTCATTTGATACACCTCTTTCACTACCCCACCCCTCTTTCTGTTGCCCCCATTGATCTACACCTACCCCCTCATTTCAAGCACCCTCTGCCCATATTAAAAAAGTGAAGATCGGAGTACCGGCACATACAACTTTAAAATACCCACCCCTGGGGTATCAAATCCCTGCGGAGAACTACCCCCCACCCCCCAGGACCCACCCCAGCATCAACCCTCCCCACCCCTTTGACGAAAGAGTAACCCCCCCCCTCTGGTTCACCTTCCCATGTGCGATTCTCATGCTAGAGTGCACAGACATGAAGTCGGCAGGAAGAGAGGGAGGAAAGACACAAAGAGGTGCAAGAAGACACGATGATATGACAATGATACATCAGCTAGACCAAACAGCAACTTGACCAACAGAATCATCTACATCATCGTCCCTCACACGGGAAATATTTGTGGAGTTACCACAAATGTTCCGCAAACCCTGGTCTATGCATCACGACCAACCAGACTACGTGCAACGTGTCCATATTATATGAAATCACTATTTACGTAGACTTGGAATCGTACCTCATTGAAATAGTGAAACTACTTTTGTGGAGAGAATACTTCCCAGTGATTGTGTAGAGCAGTCCGATAACCATTGATTTTCCGATAAGACATATAAGGGCACTTTTAACTCCATATGCAGTTATGTCTCGTCGCTTGCTTCCTATCGCGGTATCAGCTTCTGTAGGAGCAGGGGCTTTCTACTTATGGTTGGACATTCTTGAATCGACGGGTTGTAGCGGAGTAATCAATTTGCCTCTAGGAAATCAAGGGAGAAGATGGAGCATGGATTCAGCTACGTTGGATACGATCCAACCAGTGACAAGGCGATCATTCAGTTTGGAAATGAAGCCAATGCTCGTCTTGTCCCTGCTCACGACCTTCTCAAGACCTCCGGTCAGGGCGAGTCCAATCACTGGTTCGCTCAGCTCCTCCATGCGAGGAGGGCTCCATCGACCGGGAACAGCGGGCAAAAACTAAGGCGAGTGACGTTTCCATTATTCGAACATTGCTGACATCACTCGGACACTACTGACATTGGTCCAGCCATACTTCCTTCAGCTATGTCGGCTACGATCCCAAGAGTGACAAGGCAATCGTGCAGTACTCGGACGAATCGTCGGCTAGACTGGTGAGGTCAACTCTATGCGATAAGCTGCTGATGATAACGGCAGGTCCCTGCAGTGGATGTTGTATCATGCGGTGAATTTCCGCAGCTAGAGACTGCACGGAGAAGTGCTGGATTCATGTAAATCAACTTCAACAAGAGTGTGCTCGCGCTCGATCTGTTTGTCGAGAATGTAAATCTACAAAAAAAGTTGCTCCATGACAACCACGATGAATGAACCAATTCCGATGCTGTGACTGAGTCATCATGTATTATTTTCAGTGTGCCATCAAGTTGTGACAAAATCCTGCTTGCATATGAGTGGTTTTGGGTATCACATCATTGGAGTTCACCGCTCGACATGAGGTACTTCTTGTCAGCTTTGCACGATATCAGCGCCTGCCATTGCATGAGAGAAGAAGGGGTAGAGAACCAAGTTCCTACATCATCATACGAGACGCAAGGAGCGCCACTGCAATCTATGAAAGGCAAGTCAGACGCCCCTTCGTCACGCTACTGTGATACCCTGAGATCTTCCTGGTACTCGAGCAGAGAGTTCGCTGTCGGTCAAGAACGAGAATCTTGGATTTCACTCAGTCGAAGAACTTGGAGATTGAGAATGCTTACGTCATCTTTGTCATCTCCTGATAATACAAGGACGTACAGCACCCTCCGCCTGATAGTGTCTCGAGGATTTTCTGGTTCGCCGTCCTGAAGTAGAGAGATGATCAGTCTCAGCGAGCCGTAAGAGAGACATGCACTCACTTGCAATTATCAGGACACGTTTCGACCTTCGAGGTCAGGGGATGGATTCGCTGCTGCAAGAAATTCTCTCTTTGTGCTCGAGATGCGGAGTGGGAGTTCACCTGGTTGTCGAAGCATGCAGACCTCGGGAAGATGGAAAGTGCGGGGTCCGTCCTGATTTGATGCCTGTCATCATCGAATCAGGCGAGAGTTTTGACGCGCGTGAGCTCAACATGGTGCTGATGCAGAAAGATTCTGGTTTGACTTCTGCTGTGCTGTGGGAATCGACTTCATAATAGCGGTAGGGCAGCACCTGCACTGCAACCCTTCGCAAAAATGACAAATCCACTTCGTTGACTGTAGACCCAGATGTAAGTCTCGAGAAGTGACATGTCTGTTTACCATTGCGATCATCGGTGCAGGCAAAATCTCGTGCTACCCAGTCTGCTTGAATGTTTGCAAAACATGAATCAATTTGCGGGGCGTCGCTGGAAAGTGACTTGTAAAAGAGGTCTTTCGCCAAAGTTCCAAAATCGTTTGACTGCAAGGTATTTGCTAGTCCAACTCTGCTTGTTATATTGTGAAGTTTAATGATCTTGGCTGCACAGGCTGAATTACTCGACATCCTGCGTTTCCAAACTTTCAGGCACCAAGGATTTGAAAGCTAAAATTCTTACTCGTTGCACAGCCTTTGACATTCATCTTTCTTCCCACCGTCGGGGAGCAGATTTACATTGGAATTGCATTGTCCATATTGATCTAAAAAGTTTTGAGCAAGTGCGGCGTTCAAGCAAAGGAAGATGCTGAGGATTGCAAGACTTGGCATGTCGCAGAAATGCTTGTAAGAAATTTTCCTGCTGTTTAAGGCATTTAGTGAGTGATGAATGCTCATATCATCTTCTCCTCTGCTTTAGACATCTTGAAGGACATCACAGCTAACTCGATATCACATATCATTTCGTTTGCTTGAATATCAGTGCTACAGCAAGCAACGCTGCACCTTTCTGACCCTGCATTTCCTCATTCCTACCTTTCCTCTTTTCTCTCCATTCCTCTGCCCCCAACGCTATCCCTCCTCTCTCTAGCTCCTCCCTTCATCTCTTCGCGCTCGCCGCAACCCCTGAAGCACATTCCTCAATGCCTCTAGACGCATACTCCTCTGTTGTCAACCGCCGATCAGTTCCGATCATCAGTGTAAATATTACACTTTGAATTCACTTCTGTGATTTCAAATTTGAACCTCAATTTTTAACCTGGGCCGTTGTCATACCAACATCAGTCCCCGCACAACGGTTTGACTGGCTGTAACCGTACGGTACTTGACAGCCGTTTCAAAACTGAACACTGACTCTGAACTGATTTTTAACTTAACTTTGAGTAAAGACTCTGAGGGAGAAAAAGACTTTACTCAAAAGTTAAGTTAAAGAACAGTACGAGAAAAAAAGACATCCGCCCCCAGTGTGCTCGGAGTGAATGATCAGGGCCGGACCCGGCCGGGCCCCGGAAGTCTCGGAAGTTTTAACTTGACACGCCGAACTCACAGGTGCCTCGAAGTTTTTGAACTTGTTCGAAAGTCCCTTCAGGTTCAATATGGGGTGGTTTGAGGGGAATACATGGGGGTGGGGGTGGTTCTGTTTCGAAATGGCGTGCGTGCGTGCGTGCGTGCAAGAGAGGAGAGGGAGGGAGGGAGGGAGGGAGGGAGGGAGGGAGGGGGGAGGGAGGGGACGGGAGGGGAGGGACGGAGGGACGGAGGGAGCGAGGGGAGGCGGAGGGGAGGCGGA